GAGCCGCTGACTGGAGCTGGACTTGGCACCGGTGGAGCGGACTGCTCTGGCTCCGGACGGGAGCCGCTGACGGGAGCTGGATCAGGCACCGGTGGAGCGGACTGCTCTGGCTCCGGAGTGGAGCAGCTGACAGGCACAGGACGTGGAACGGGCACAGGACGTGCCGGACTGGACACACGCACCACTGGTCTGGTGCGAGGAGCAGGCATGGGCCGGACCGAACTGGCGACACGCACCACTGGCTTGGTGCGGGGAGCAGGCACGGGCCGTACCGGACTGGGAACACGCACCACTGGTCTGGTGCGAGGAGCAGTGAACGGCCGGGCCGGACTGGGAACACGCACCACTGGCTTGGTGCGAGAGCAGGAATGGGCCCGGGCCGGACTGGCGACATGCACCACTGGCTTGGTGCAGGGAGCAGGCACGGCCGTACCGGACTGGGAACACCACCTGGTCTGGTACGAGGAGCAGGAACGGGCCGGGCCGGACTGGGAACACGCACCACTAGTCTGGTGCGAGGAGCAGGACGGACCGGGCCGGACTGGCGACACGCACCACTGGCTTGGTGCGGAGAGCAGGCACGGGCCGTACCAGACTGGGAACACGCACCACTGGTCTGGTGCGAGAGCAGGAACGGGCCTGGCCGGACTGGGAACACGCACCATTAGTCTGGTGCGAGGAGCAGAACGGGCCCGGCCGGATGGGCCGGACCGAACTGGCGACATTGCTAACCACTGTTGGTCGGGGGCAGGAACGGGGCCGTACCGGACTGGGAACACGCACCACTGGTCTGGTGCGAGGAAGGGCCGGGCCGGACTTGGCACACGCACCACTAGCTTGGTGCGAGACGCAGGCACGAGGTGTACCGGACTGGGAACTGACGTTAGAGATCTCCGACTGTACCAGTCTTTCACTCTCCGCGCCCAGTCCTCCTCCCGTGAGGACTCCTCCCTGAGCCCCCACGAGTGCAGTGGTCGGGGCTCTTCTCCATCGATCCCCGACCACCCTTTTAGCCCCCCCAAATTGTTTTATTGGGGCTGTCTCTCGGGCTTCCTCCTCGGCCGGCGCCTTCTGCGTTGCCGTTGCTCCTCTATAAACCGGGCCTCCACTGTCTCCTCCCAATGACGGCGATCCATCCCAGCCTGAATCTCCTCCCATGTCCAGGATCCCTTACCGTCCAGGATATCCTCCCATGTCCAGGATGTCTGCTCCTGGGCACGCTGCTTGGTCCATTTTTGGTGGGATCTTCTGTCACGTTCGTTTAAGGACGGGTCAGACCAAGGCGCAGCGTGAAATGCGTACATGTTTATTTCAATGATAAACACACAAACAAACCAACGTAACGTGAAGTCCTCAGGCTAAACACAACACAAGCCTCTACATGGAACAAGATCCCACAACTAATGATGCAAACAGGCTGCCTAAGTATGATCCCCAATCAGAGACAACGAGCGACTGCTGTCTCTGATTGGGAATCACACCCGGCCAAACACAGAAACACAACACCTAGAACGAGAACATAGAAAATACAACATAGAACTCCACACCCTGACTCAACATACTAGAGTCCCATAAGTCAAATTATGTCAATTAGCCTATCAGAAGCTTCTAAAGCCATGACATCATCTACTGGAATTTTCCAAGCTATTTAAAGGCACAGTCAATTTAGTGTATGTAAACTTCTGACTCACTGGAATTGTGATACAGTGAATTATAAGTGAAATAATCTGTCTGTAAACAATTGTTGGAAAAATTACTTGTGTCATGCACAAAGTAGATGTTCTAACCGACTTGCCAAAACTATAGTATGTTAAAAAGAAATGTGTGGAGTGTTTGAAAAACGACTTTTAATGACTCCAACCTAAGTGTATGTAAACTTCCAACTTCAACTGTAGATGTTCATGAACATTAACACCCAATTCTTACTCATATGTGGAATGTTTTCACTGACTCTCTACATTATCCACAGGGTAACTGTCAACTTAGTCTGACAATTTGCCTTCTGAGTGGCGCAGCGGTCTAAGGCACTGCATCGCAGTGCTTGAGGCGTCACTACAGATCCGGGTTCGATCCCGGGCTGTGTCGCAGCCGGCCATGACAGGGAGACCCATGAGGCGGCGCACAATTGGCCCAATGTCGTCCAGGTTAGGGGAGGGTTTGGCCGGCCGAGATGTCCTTCCCCTCTCCCGAGTCCGTACAGGAGTTGCAGTGATGGTACAAGACTGGTACTACCAATTGGGGAGAAAAAGGGGTAAAAAAAATACAACTTTCTCTGAAAATAGACAAGGTGACATAAGTTTAAAAACCTTATTTTCAAAAACAGATAATTGCACAGAAGTAATTTGTACGTTATATTTTGTTTTTTCAGATGCCACCTTGCAGTGACTCCTATGCCACAATTCAACAATGGACCAAGTTATTTGAGTATATCTTTTTTTTATTAAAAGCTTTAGTTGTCAGTTATGAGTAATTCATTCAAACTTTTCTAAGTATAATAGAGAATGCTATATTGTAATAGTGCTGAACTTTGTAGTTTTATGCATTGCGCTTGAATGTAGCCTAGCTACTGTATGTAAGGTAAATAGCTCAATCTTGCATTCATTAAAATAAATGGCAACATTTATATTTTGGAATGTATTTTGCTAGCTACCACAGCATGCTGTCATATATTTACATATATGTTCAATAAATATATGAATAGCACATATAACATGCATACTACCACATATGGATAAGTAATACATGTAAATATAATTACATATATCTTAAAAATATTTTCAAATATAAAACAATACGGCCAAAATCGAATGTTAATATATTTTATGAAATATATGTGACATATATGGTCATATATGAGTAAGACATGTATTTACATATATGTATTTTAAACTCTTTGTAGTGTTGTTAGATGAGAGACGGGAGCTAGCAACACTACCGTTGTTGTAGGTAGTAGAGCTGGTGTGGTTAGCTTGCATTACAGCAAGATAGCCAGGTTAGCTTAAGCCTTGTGGCGAACGCTAGTCCTTTGTTATTGTGGTTAGCTAGCCTTGCAGCTAGTTAGTCAAGTTAGCTAAAGCCTTGCGTCGATGGCTAACCAAATCTTGATAGCTAGCCGTGTGGCGCTAGCTAAACGGAGACTGACGAGTAGAAAATGAATTCTGCTCTAAGCAAAACCTTTCGTTCTGTACTCAACACTATCAACAGGAGCTGAGGTTCTACATTCGGCAGTGTTAACCTCACGGTTTGCCTGAGAACGGTTCAGTAGGAAAACAGAAATCCAGTCGTGATTAGGAGAGCTTCATTGAACGTGGTCACTTCTACAAGGAAGAGAGGTTAGAATAACCCGTTTGGCGGGCGACTGACTCCCTTTATGGAGGAGAGGCGCTCACCTCATTCGCCCCTTGACCTGTCTGTCTCCAACAGACGCTGTGTGATTGGTTACTTTGAGCTTGTGGCCACGCCCAGGCATATCCCATAGTGAGACGTCGAAACAAGTATTTGAAATAGAACCCTCATCCATACAACACTTTTGAAAGGCGCAAAATTTGACCTACTTCACATCAATAGGCTACCCATCAAAACAAATCCCCTGGATTCAAACATACTGAGGACGCAAGGACTCAATACGTCTTGGATGGAAAAAGTAGTGGGGGCACGCAATCATTTCTGCCTGCGATATTCTCTGAAATGCAGAGACGCATTGAAGGGTCCCGTCCTAACCATACTTAATGGGAGGGGTCCAGTAGTATTACCTTAACCAAAACCAATATGGTGGCAACATTGTTCCCTTAATCACTGTTAAAAGAGAGAAACATTGTATTACTGCCTGACGTCAAGCAGAAGGCAACGTCAAATGTTATTTATTTATGTATGTACTATTGATTGAGTGTTATTTATCTTTACCAGTCCAACCCTGGAAATCCATGTATTTCCTTTGTGTCAGGCTTTCAGGCAAATCAAATCAAAAAAACACCCAAAAACATACTTACAGATGGAGAATAGTTTTGAGGAAAATTGGAGAAGGAGATATTTAGAAAGGGATATATTAGAACTCTCTCTCTCTCTCTCTCTCTCTCTCTCTCTCTCTCTCTCTCTCTCTCTCTCTTTCTTTTATCAAAAGCCTTATTCATCATCACTATCAATAATTTAGATTCAGCGATTAACCCTTCGTAAAAGTTTGTCCCAAACCCCAGTTTAGATAAGTGACAGTGTTTACACAAAAGGCTCAGTATGAGAATAGCAGGACTATTAATCTAATAGTGCGTTATTACTGCTGTACAGTATGTCTCTGTTGCTAACACCCTAGGCCTGATGCTCGTCATCAAGTCAGCCACATTCAGAGCATTATATTTTTGATTGACTTATAAAAAACAAAACAAAGTCTCCTAAGTACATTTTCCTCCTCAGGCAGAGCCAAACCGATTGCTCATTTATATTAATGGGGCGGTTTGCAACCAAACAGGTCATACTTTGCGGTGACTATCCTCCGGTAGGCTGGCAGAGGACAGTCTTTGGGGTGACTGCCATTGAGCGCCAGTGGGTCACTGGATGTTCTGCTGTGACTGAAGTGTGTCTGTCCATTCACTGGCAGACCCAGGGGGGATGTTACTCAGTCTTTTCTCCTTACCCAGTGTTTGTCTAATGGCTCACGTTTGTAAGTTAATAAACCATTGATAACAGTTAATAAAACCTTTAACAGCTAACAAAGTGTTAATAAACAGCAGGAGTGTATTAAAATAGATTAACTATTCATTGTGGTTAATGGTTTAAGTTCTGGAAGGCTTCTATTAGAATACAAGCCCTTTGTAATGACATTTCTACAAAATAAATGACTTACATAATGATAATAGAACCCAATTTGGCAACTATGTTACTCTTGAGGATGACAGATACGATCTACAAACTTGTTGTTATCTCTCGTCTAAACAATACCGTAACTGGAATTTGCCATTGAGGATAACTCTGTTTAACTTAGTTGAAGAAAAGACAGACAGGACAAGATGGGCTACAGGAAAGCGGAGTGTGTACGCACCTGTAGCTGTGTGAAGACAGTCTATGCGTCTCACCGTTGTTTGTTTCGTCTGCTGGTCCTTGTCAGAGGCTTGTGGGGGCCGATGTCTCAGTATCAGTTGTGGCTCCTGTATAGCTGCATGCTCTTCACTCTCATGCCTTCTCCTTAGTACTGGTCTCTCTCTCTCTCTCTGGCTGGTCCAGAAAGATTGAGCTAGCCTGGGGTGATGGTATGTTTTTCACTGTAGAGTGGGAGGTTGTCCTGCCTACTACCTATGATGTCATAGTGCTTCTAAAAAAATAACAAAACTCCTCCTAACATAAGGTTTCAACTGCTAATGGAAGGAAGGAAGGTATTTTGTTATTTTATTAGGATCCCCATTAGCTGTTGCGAAAGCAGCAGCTGCTCTTCCTGGGTTCCACACAAAACATGAAACATGACATAATACAGAACATTAATAGACAAGTACAGCTCAAGGACAGAACTACATCAATAGAAAAATGGCACACGTAGCCTACATATCAATACATGCGGACAAACTATCTAGGTCAAATAGCGGCGAGGCGTTGTGAGGTGTAAAGGAAGGAAGGAAAGAAAGAAGGAAAGAAGGAAGGATAGATGGAAGGAAAGAAGGAAGGAAAGAAAAAAGAAAATACCAAAATCCACTAAGCCTTGTTGCCTGGAATTGGTGTGTTGTGATGACACTTACACCCGCTCTGGATCACACATGCATACTCACACTTGCCGTTGCAGCTTAGTGCTTGGTATTTGTTTCAGTCACACTCACTCTCAATCACTTTCAACATTTCTCTCTCATACATACTCTGTTTCTATTTCTAGAAGTCCTCTTAGAAGAACTTGAAGAATAATAATAATTATTATAACTTGTGATCTTGATTATCCAGTGGTTTTGCTGCTATAAAAGAGGTTTCTGGGAGGGATGGGTGTGTGTTTATGTGTGTTTGTCCCACAAGGCAGGGTGTGTATATTGTGGCCATCTCAGAGCTATTGGCAGCTGTGTTCATTTGATTATGGACACAATATGTGGTCTTAGCAGACAAAGAGGGCTTTAGGCAAAATGTTTGGGACATAAAACCCAAGGGAGGAAATACTTGTGAGTGTGGGAGAAGGGTCACTTGGAAGATACTGGGATAGGGACTTTCTTAAACTTTCTTGACTGCCGTGTGTGTGCTTGGGTGTTTTAGTGTCTCTCAAAGGTGGTCGTTTGTATGTAAAAATATGTAACTCTAGAGAAAAATTCCCTTATGACAGTGATGAAAACACACAAAGCATGTAGCATCCGTTGTCTGGAATTAATTTGCATTTAAATTAATACGTTCTCTGTACCCCTCAACACTCTTTAAGTAACCTGTTACACATCACACACACACACATTTATGTTATTATTAAGTGTCATAGTCTTCAATAGAAAAGTAAAGACAAGACAAAATAGTTTTTCTTGCCCTATTAATAATTGTTTTGCTTTGTTGGATTTGGACACTGTAGGCCAGTGCTCCAAATGTACATTTCATTTAGCTTTTTTATAGATCCTTTTCCTGCAGTCTATACAAGTATGGATCATCCACAAGGAAAGTATTGATTGCCAAAGTTTTACATCATTATAAGTGATTTTAATTTCCATGAAACAGCAAGCAACAGCCTTAGACAGAATGAGTGATCTTCTATGAGTGCAAGAATGGGTATTATCATGTCTCGTCTCTAGATTTTCATAAAGTTTGTGGTGAAATGATGGTCTCTCCCCAAGGCAACTTGTACATCTATACACTGGATTGAAAAACGGTATATCTGATAGGCATACATTGAATCACAAAGTGTCATATTTAACCCAATAACAACCAATCAATAGAGAATGAGGAAATTGTCCCAGACACTGGGAGAGTTTGTGCTGCAAGTCGACAACACAACAATAGTGATGGGAGAAAATATGTAATACAGTTACCTATCGGGGTATTATTTTTGACAATATATCGTATCGTATCGCATATATTGAATCACAAAATGTCACATTTAACGCAATAACAACCAATTCATAGAGAATGAGGAAATTGTCCCACATTAAAATAAAGTCTGTTTTGCTGATCCTAGATCTGTGCCTAATGACAACTTGCACCTGGGTCCAGACCTATATCAAAGATCTTTATAACCCAGGATAGACCACAGCCTGTCGTTTCCAATGGGAACAAATCATAGTGGGCAGAACAAGCAAGGAGGTGGGCAAAGCCAAGCACGAGCTAGCAAGGTCCTATCGGCACGTTCTAGCATGTATTTGCATATTTCTGTTAGGGAACGCCTACTCTGTGAAGTGCGCATGTGCAATAACTCAATTAGCCCTTGCACTCCTTCAAAACTTAGTCCACTCTGTTCATAACAGATTATAGTTTTGGGAACAGAAAACTGTATTGAGATCAAATGTTCGATGAGAAAATGTGCAGAATGTCGGCCAAAATCCTTATCACTCCATCTTCTCCCGCTGCCGGCCACTGGGCTTCCTCTCATCACCATAGTTGGTGGTGAGTGGAAATGCCAACCGGATGCTTCAGATTTATACATCTGGTGGAACATCTGGCTCATTGTTCTATCTGTGCCTATATGCTATGTTCATTGGGAGTCGTGTAAAGCTAAATCAGGAATGGGTAACTTTGATGGGGGTGCGGGCCCACAAAAAAACAGAACTCATCATGAGGGGCCTTAGTGGCTTGCAAGCAAAAAATTTTTTTGCAGTTTTACAGCTAATTTCCTGCAATGCTACACATTTTTTCCATAGGGTGGAGGCAAATGTTTGCAATTTTTAATATGATAACTGATGATCAATGGGCCCCAACCCGGTCAGTAAATCGACCATGCTTACTACAAGTTTAGATAGCTGGTCGCTAGACTATATAAAATAAAATCCAGTCAAATTGGGGGGCCAGTATGAAAATGTATGCACTCACTAACTCTAAGTCGCTGTGGATAAGAGCATCTGCTAAATGACTAAAATGTAAATGTAAATGTAAATTGTATTGTTCGCATACACATATTTAGCAGATGTTATTGCAGGTGTAGTGAAATGCTTGTGTTCCTAGCTCCAACAGTGCAGTAATATCTAACAATACACAAAAATACACATGAATCTAAAAGTAAAAGAATGGAATTAAGAAATATAGAAATATTAGGACGAGCAATGTCGGAGTCCAGAGTATAAATATATACTGAACAAAAATATAAACACAACATGTAAAGTGTTGATCCCATGTTTCATGAGCTGAAATAAAAGATCCCAGAAATGTTCAATATGCACAAAAAGCTTATTTCTCTCAAATGTTGTGCACAAATTTGTTTACGTCCCTGTTAGTGAGTATTTCTCCTTTTCAAAAAAAATGCATCCACCTGACAGGTGTGGCATATCAAGAAGTTGATTAAACAGCATGATCATTACACAGGTGCACCTTGTGCTGGGGACAATAAAAGGCCACTCTAAAATGTGAAGTTTTGTCACACAACACAATGCCACAGATGTCTCAAGTTTTGAAGGAGCCTGCAATTGGCATGCTGACTGCAGGAATGTCCACCAAAGCTGTTGCCAGATAATTTAATGTTAATTTCTCTACAATAAGCCACCTCCAACGTCATTTTAGAGAATTTGGCAGTACGTCTAACCGGCCTCATAACCACAGATCACGTGTAACCACGCCAACCCAGGACCTCCTCATCCGGCTTCTTCACCTGCAGAATTGTCTGAGACCAGCCCACCGGACAACTGATGAAACTGAGGAGTATTTCTGTCTGTAATAAAGCCCTTTTGTGGGGAAAAACTCATTCTGATTGGCTGGGCCTGGCTCCCCAGTGGGTGGGCCTGGCTCCCAAGTGGATGGGCCTATGCCCTCCCCACCCATGGCTGTGCCCCAGCCCAGTCATGTGAAATCCATAGATTAGGGCCTAATGAATTTATTTCAATTGACTGATTTTCTTATATGAACTGCAACTCATTAAAATTGTAGAAATTGTTGCGTTTATATTTTTGTTCTGTATATATACTGTATATGTCATGGGATGTATAGACATTATGGACAGTATGTGGATAGAATATGTAGTATATCTGTAGAATACGTAGGATAGAATAGTATATGTACAGCAATAGTTGAATAGGATGGTCTTGACTAGAATACAGTATTGTACATATGAAATGAGAAAAACAGTATGTACAGTGGATTCGGAAAGTATTCAGACCCCTTGACTTTTCCCAAATGTTGTTACCTTACAGCCTTATTCTAAAATGGATTAAATAGTTTTTTTCCCTCATCAATCTACACACAATACCCCATAATGACGAAGCAAAAACAGGTTGCTATACATTTTTGCTCATTTATCACCACATTTACATAAGTATTCAGACCCTTTACTCAGTACTTTGTTGAAGCACCTTTGGCAGCGATTAAAGCCTCAAGTCTTCTTGGGTATGACGCTACAAGCTTGCACACCTGTATTTGGGGAGTTTCTCCCATTCCTCTCTGCAGATCCTCTCAAGCTCTGTCAGGTTGGATGGGGAGCTTCGCTGCACAGCTATTTTCAGGTCTCTCCAGAGATGTTCGATCACGTTCAAGTCCGGGCTCTGGCTGGGCCACTCAAGGACATTCAGAGACTATGTAAATGTAATCCATTTTAGAATAAGGCTGTAACTTAACAAAATGTGGAAAAAGTCAAGGGGTCTGAATACTTTCCGAATGCACTGTAATTAATAATACACAGCACTTTTATTTTTTTATTTTTTTATTTCACCTTTATTTAACCAGGTAAGCCAGTTGAGAACAGGTTCTCATTTACAACTGCGACCTGGCCAAGATAAAGCAAAGTAGTGCAATAAAACAACACAGAGTTACATATGGGGTAAAAAAACATAAAGTCAGAAATACAACAGAAAATATATATACAGTGTGTGCAAATGTAGCAAGTTATGGAGGTAAGGCAATAAATAGGCTATAGTGCAGAATAATTACAATAGTATTAACACTGGAATGCTAGATGTGCAAGAGATTATGTGCAAATAGAGATACTGGGGTGCAAAAGAGCAAAATAAATAACAATATAGGGATGAGGTAGTTGGGTGGGCTAATTTCAGATGGGCTGTGTACAGGTGCAGTGATCGGTAAGGTGCTCTGACAACTGATGCTTAAAGTTATTGAGGGAGATAAGAGTCTCCAGCTTCAGAGATTTTTGCAATTCGTTCCAGTCATTGGCAGCAGAGAACTGGAAGGAATGGCGGCCAAAGGAGGTGTTGGCTTTGGGAATGACCAGTGAGATATACCTGCTGGAGCGCAGACTACGGGTGGGTGCTGCTATGGTGACCAATGAGCTAAGATAAGGCGGGGATTTGCCTAGCAGTGATTTATAGATGGCCTGGAGCCAGTGGGTTTGACGACGAACATGTAGTGAGGACCAGCCAACAAGAGCGTACAGGTCACAGTGGTGGGTAGTGTATGGGGCTTTGGAGACAAAACGGATGGCACTGTGATAGACTACATCCAATTTGCTGAGTAGAGTGTTGGAGGCTATTTTGTAAATGACATCGCCGAAGTCAAGGATCGGTAGGATAGTCAGTTTTACGAGGGCATGTTTGGCAGCATGAGTGAAGGAGGCTTTGTTGCGAAATAGGAAGCCGATTCTAGATTTAACTTTGGATTGGAGATTCTTTATGTGAGTCTGGAAGTTGAGTTTACAGTCTAACCAGACACCTAGATATTTGTAGTTGTCCACATACTCTAGGTCAGACCCGTCGAGAGTGGTGATTCTAGTCGGGTGGGCGGGTGCTAGCAGCGTTCGATTGAAAAGCATGCATTTAGTTTTACTAGTGTTTAAGAGCAGTTGAAGGCTACTGAAGGATTGTTGTATGGCATTGAAGCTCGTTTGGAGGTTTGTTAACACAGTGTCCAATGAAGGGCCAGATGTATACAAAATGGTGTCGTCTGCGTAGAGGTGGATCTGAGAGTCACCAGCAGCAAGAGCGACATCATTGATATACACGGAGAAAAGTGTCGGCCCAAAAATTGAACCCTGTGGCACCCCCATAGAGACTGCCATAGGTCCAGACAACAGGCCCTCCGATTTGACACACTGAACTCTATCTGAGAAGTAGTTGGTGAACCAGGCGAGGCAGTCATTTGAGAAACCAAGGCTATTTAGTCTGCCAATAAGAATGCGGTGGTTGACAGAGTCGAAAGCCTTGGCCAGGTCGATGAAGACGGCTGCACAGTACTGTCTATTATCAATCGTGGTTATAATATCGTTTAGGACCTTGAGCGTGGCTGAAGTGCACCCGTGACCAGCTCGGAAACCGGATTGCATAGCGGAGAAGGTACGGTGGTATTCGAAATGGTCGATGATCTGTTTGTTAACTTGGCTTTCGAATACTTTCGAAAGGCAGGGCAGGATGGATATTGGTCTGTAGCAGTTTGGATCTAGAGTGTCACCCCCTTTGAAGAGGGGGATGACCGCGGCAGCTTTCCAATCTCTGGGGATCTCAGACGTTATGAAAGAGAGGTTGAACAGACTAGTAATAGGGGTTGCGACAATTTCGGCGGCTAGTTTTAGAAAGAAAGGGTCCAGATTGTCTAGCCCAGCTGATTTGTAGGGGTCCAGATTTTGCAGCGCTTTCAAAACATCAGCTGTCTGAATTTGTGTGAAGGAGAAGCGGGGGGGGGCATGGGCAAGTTGCAGCAGAGGGTGCAGAGTTGGTGGCCGGGTTAGTGGTAGCCAGATGGAAAGCATGGCCAGCTGTAGCAAAATGCTTGTTGAAATTCTCGATTATTGTAGATTTATCGGTGGTGATAGTGTTTCCTAGCCTCAGTGCAGTGGGCAGCTGGGAGGAAGTGCTCTTATTCTCCATGGACTTTACAGTGTCCCAAAACTTTTTGGAGTTAGTGCTACAGGATGCAAATTCCTGTTTGAAAAAGTTAGCCTTTGCTTTCCTGACTGCTTGTGTATATTGGTTCCTAACTTCCCTGAAAAGTTGCATATCGCGGGGGCTATTTGATGCTAATGCTGTTCGCCACAGGATGTTTTTGTGCTGGTCAAGGGCAGTCAAGTCTGAGGAGAACCAGGGGCTATATCGGTTCTTAGTTCTGTATTTTTTGAATGGGGCATGTTTATTTAAGATTGAGAGGAAATTACTTTTAAGGAACAACCAGGCATCTTCTACTGACGGAATGAGATCTATATCCATCCAGGATACCTGGGCCAGGTCAATTAGGAAGGCCTCCTCGCTAAAGTGTTTTAGGGAGCGTTTGACAGTGATGAGGGGTGGTCGTTTGACCGCGGACCCGTTACGGACGCAGGCAATAAGGCAGTGATCGCTGAGATCCTGGTTGAAGACAGCTGAGGTGTATTTAGAGGGTATGTTAGTCAGGATGATATCTATGAGGGTACCCATGTTTAAGGATTTAGGGTTGTACCTGGTAGGTTCGTTGATAATTTGCGTGAGGTTGAGGGCATCTAGCTTGGATTGTAGGATGGCTGGGGTATTAAGCATATCCCAATTTAGGTCACCAAGCAGTACAAACTCAGAGGATAAATGGGGGGCAATCAATTCACATATGGTGTCCAGGGCACAGCTGGGGGCTGAGGGGGGTCTGTAGCAAGCGGCAACAGTGAGAGACTTATTTCTGGAAAGGTGGATTTTTAGAAGTAGAAGCTCAAACTGTTTGGGCACAGACCTGGATAGTATGATAGAGCTCTGCAGGCTATCTCTACAGTAGATTGCAACTCCACCCCCTTTGGCAGTTCTATCTAGACGGAAAATGTTATAGTTGGGGATGGAAATTTCAGAATTTTTGGTGGCCTTCCTGAGCCAGGCATGTGTGCTCTCTGCTGGCAAGAAATGGTAATTGCAAGTAAGTGTGTGTGTGTGTGTGTGTGTGTGTGTGTGTACGTTTTTAACTATACTTGTGGGGACCAAAAGTTTTTTGTTTTTTTACCAACTGGGGACATTTTTTTGGTCCCCACAAGGTCAAATGTTATTTCTAGGGGGTTTAGGGTTAAGGTTAGAATTAGTGCTAGGGTTATAATTAGGTTTAGGGTTAGGAGCTAGGGTAAGTTTTAGGGTTAGGAGCTAGGGTTAGATTTAGGGTTAGGGTTAGATTTTAAGGTTAAGGTTAGGGTTAAGTCTAGGGTTAAGGTTAGGGTTAGGGTTAGGGTTAGGGGTAAGGGAAAATAGGATTTTGAATGGGATTGAATTGTGTGTCCCCACAAGGTTAGTTGTACAAGACTGTGTGTGTGTGTGTGTGTGTGTGTATGCGCGTGTTTGCTTATAGTCCAAGTTCATAGGTGGCGCTGTTACACTTTTTGCTGATGCACACACTTCCGACTACAGAAGAAGAAGATGCAGTGCAGGCGCGGAATGATTACGTCACACCCTTGTAGACGTCGCTATGGCAGACCATGTTAATGAGCTAGAAATTGCCAAGAAACATTTAACTGAAGCAATTGGTGAAAATGTCAAACAGTAAGTACGCAACCGGTGGTTGATTTGATGTTGTCCTACACTAAGTTGTTTTACTTTCCTATTTAGCAAGTTGGTTTAAACGTCCACATAAATGGATAGCTAAACTAGCTCTCTGCTAACGGTTATGCAGTGTCTAGCTAGCTAAAGCCTGTAGCATCCTTCCCAGTCGGTATTATGGGTGCGTTCGTAAACTCACTCTGGCTATCTACTCCGATTTCAGAGCACTCTTGTCTGAGCGTGCTAGAGTGCAGAATAACGGATGAATTTACGAACGCGCAACACCCGTTGAATATGACCGGTGTTAGTAAATGTCGACAACAAAAGTAATTAATTGTTGCCAGCAGCACAGTTACCAGCGCTCTAGATAACATGAAAGCAGCCTAACCAGCTCTGCTAGGGCGAGTAAAATGGTCAGTGAGGTGTTCTCTTATTTGTGTCTGGAAGTAACTATCAAACTAGCCAGCTTTATTTAGCCAGTTAGCTTGGATGCTTGACTGCCGTTTTGAGGTCAGAACGCTCGGATCAACTCTACTCCTCGGCCAGAGCGTCCAGTGTGCCCTCTGAACGCTCCGAGAGCGAAACTCTGAATTTACTAACGGACAATCTGACAACGTTATGAATTTACGAACGACCAGAGGTCACTCTGGCACTCCAGAGTGAATTTACGAACACACCCATAGATAGAACGTCGCGGCCCCGCCCACCTGTGGGGAAAACGACATGTGGTTACCTAGGTTACCCTATTGGCTCTTTTTCAAAAGCAATTTTCTTGTTGTTTGCTTGTTTTAGCCAAGTACTGTACAAAACTACGTTTAAAAATGCTATATGTAACGACTTTCTGTCATTCTCATTGAAAGCAAGACTAAAAGTCTGGTTTACACTCCGTCTATCAACGACATATCTGTAGACAATTGTCATAGTTACATCATGAACATTCTTTGTCGCCCAACATCAAACTTGTCTTGTCGTTATGAAAAAGTATTAACACCAAACGACAGCCCGGTGCTCCAAATAGCATACTTTCTCTATTTTAACACCAATAAAAAATCGACGCCAAAGTTGGCTCTTTTACACTGGAGGTCAATGGGAAATAATGTTTGTTTTCACCAATTTGTGGTCGACGGGAATTCCTTATTATTACGTGAATATCGACTCGGAGTATACAGTAAGTATATAAACAAACAAAAAAGGTTGGGTGTTCAGCAGGGTTTTTTTCGGCTGTTCCGAGTACACAATATTTTTTCTTGAGGCAAGCCGAAGTTCGGTAGTCGAAGTCTACGCCCCTTCGTCAGTGATTGGTCAACATTAGGGATTTTTCAATGAAATGTTCTTTATTCCACGACAGATGACTGTTTTCATGCACATTTCTTCACTTGAGAAATACTGCACCAAACATTTTAAGTAGAAAATTGTAAAATTGTGCGACTAAAGGCGTCCGCATGCTTCCCACCCGGAACAGTTCGTGCATATATTATGATGACATATTGTGGCGTTTTTGTTCGTCTGCTGTTGTTGTTTACGCAATCCAAAAACGGTCCATTATAAATCGCAATCTGGGTCAGGTGGGTATAATTTGAAAGCTTGTTTTATTGCGAACATGACTAGCTAAATTATAAAATACGATCTTACAGTGTTAAGCTTTCACGAGGCAATTCAGAGAAGCAGATCTTAATTTTGGTGCGCATAGAATGGAGTCATAATTGCATTCTGAAACGTGGTCCACAGCTAATTTTCTTTACAAGACAACAAGCAGGCTCATTCTGTTCAGGACAACCCAGGGTATAATGCCATGTCATCTTGTAATTACATAAAACATAGTGATCATAAACGTTGACACTGTATATTACATGACTTTTATGATATAGAAATGTGAAGTGCACATTTGGACTCACAGGTGTCCTCGTAATTTACAGCATTTCCCTCACTCAGAAAACAAAAAATGTGCAGAAGTCTCAATTAGCAGGAGGGATGGGGGCAACTTCTTGTTGGGCTCGGGTCTCAAGTTCAGAACGGCTGTCAGTCAAAACCCATACAGAGCTATGAAGCGGAGACCCTGAGCTCTGATGTCATGTAAAGCATGTTACACTGCCACTGCGTTCCAATTTAGGAGCTTATCAGTGTCTAAATCGGTAATATGACGTATACAGGTACGAGTGTAAAGGGTAGGAAAAATAACAATTACTCCGATTTAAAACGGAATGATTCTGAACAGTCCCAAGACCCAACTTCAGCAGACAAGTTTCAAAATCTCGCTGAAGTTTCTAGCCACAAGCATAAACTAGCTAGCTGGGAAGGGCTCATCAGGACGACTGACAAAACTGGACTGACATAAGTGAGTCCGTTCATCTCCACTCAACTCTTGCTCCGCGACAAACGTCATCAATTTGGACACCAGGCCTCTCCCAAGTCGAAGTTCGGTCTACACCCCTTCGTAGGAGTGGTGACTATGGATGGGATTCTTCAATGAAGTCTTTGAGGTCATTCAATTTTTCACTTCAGAAATGCTGCACCAAACATCTTAGGTAGATGTAAAATTGCGCGACTAAGGCCTCTTCTGCAAAAACGTCAATTTATGACAATTTATTAATTAGTCTTATTTTAATTCTGACTATTTTGAGGAAGTGTATACTGGCTAGGTTGTTGCTATGGTGTCTCAAGAGGGACAAACCGTAATATCGCCATTTTTCAAGTGAAGGTCTTTTAAGAGAGTATGTGAGGCACAGACGTTCGCTTCACCTAGCCAAGTTCTGCTAGGAGCAAACCTAGTATGCGGGCACTTTTACGTTAACGTTACTGAATGTTTAGCTAACGTTGCCATGAATGTTTATTTCCTCAATTGCATCTCTTTTATAGTTACTGGGCGAACTTGAAACTGTGGTTCAAACAGAAGATAAGCAAGGAAGAGTTTGACATCGAGGCTCGTCGCCTTTTGGCACAAGACAACGGTTAGTGGAGAAATTATTCAACGTTCTCTGTGACTGTTTCTGTGGGTTGGACTACAGGTCTTCACGGATCCACCTGTAACCGAATACCGAGACCAATGTTCCCTAAAAAAATTCTGGCACTGAGAAAATTTCAGGTCTGCTGAGCGCAAACTTGAACGTTTAGAAAATTCTGTGCACCCGGGCTGTGTTGCAGCCTGCCGCGACCGGGAGACCCATGAGGCGTCGCACAATTGGCCCAGCGTCGTCCGGGTTAGGGGCGGGATTTTGCCGGCTGGGATGTCCTTGTTCCATCACGCTCTAGCGACTCCTTGTGGTGGCCGGGCGCATGCATGCTGGCTTCGGTCGTGTTTCCTCTGACACATTGGTGCGGCTGGCTTCTGGGTTAAGCGAGCAGTGTGTCAAGAAGCAGTGCGGCTTGGCAGGGTCGTGTTTCGGAGCACGCATGGCTCTCAACCTTCGCCTCACCCGAGTCCGCACGGGAGTTGCAGCGATGGCATAAGACTCTAACTACCAATTAGATATCACAAAATTTGGGTAGAAAGTACAAAATAAATCAAAATGAAGAATATTCTGTGCAACTTCTAGCACGTGATTACTGTGAACACTGAGGCTGTAACCGCTGTAAGTTAGTTTTAACAGTGGTCAAGTAGGCTACTGTGGCTATTTGATCATAATGTAGGCCTCCTAGAATGGCCTACCATAAAAAACAATGGAGAATGCATCCCATAACATTTTAACATGGAAATAGCTGTTCTGTTATTCAGCCTATGGTAGCAGCCAATGTGTGGTGTTCAATGTATGCCTACATTCCATGATACTTTTGAAAAAATACATACAGGGCTTGACCTTAACCTGTTTATCCACTTGTTCTTCAGACAAGGATGTCAATTAAAATGTTATTGTGTTGTTTGATGCAACAAACCACTTTACATTATTCACATACCATTATTGGCTACTTGGCTTATTCAATCCTGTTTCAAAATACAACACTGCCCCTTTTAAGACAAAAAAAATCTCTTTACTTGACTCGCTTTTCAAAAATGTCTGGAAATGCACACATTTTGTGCTCTTGTAGGAAGCAATCACTCCCCTGTTGCTGACTACAAATTATCTATGACTGGGCTAATAACTCACTAACTAGGATATGAATAAATGTGCACACGTGGCTACATGTACAGTGCATTCGGAAAGTATTCAAACCCTTTGACTTTTTCCACATTTTGTTACGTTACAGCCTTATTCTAAAATGGAATAAATAAAACATTTTCATCATCAAACTACACACAATACCCCATAATGACGAAGCGAAAAGAGGTTTTTAGAATTTTTTGCAAATGTATTCAAAATAAAAAAACTGATACCTTATTTACCACAGGTAAGACTCGAAATTGAGCTCCAGTGCATCCTATTTCCATTGATCATCCTTGAGATGTTTCTACAACTTGATTGGAGTTCACCTGTGGTAAATTACATTGATTGAACATGATTTGGAAAGGCACACACCTCTTTATATTAAGTCCCACAGTTGACAGTTCATGTCAGAGCAAAAACCAAGCCATGAGGTCGAAGGAATTGTCCGTAGAGCTCCGAGTCAGGATTGTGTCGAGGCACAGATCTGGGGAAGGATACCAAAATAGTTTTGCCGCATCGAAGGTCCCCAAGAACACAGTGGCCTCCATCATTCTTAAGTAGAAGAAGTTTGGAACCACCAAGACTGTACCTAGAGCTGGCCGACCCGGCCAAACTGAGCAATCGGGGGAGAAGAGCCTTTGTCAGGGAGGTGACCAAGAACCTGATGGTCACTCTGACAGAGCTCCAGAGTTCCTCTGTGGAGATGGGATAACCTTCCAGAAGGACAACCATCTCTGCAGATCTCCACCAATCAGGCCTTTATGGTAGAGTGGCCACTCCTCAGTAAAAGGCACATGACAGCCTGCTTGGAGTTTGCCAAAAGGCACCTAAAGGACTCTCAGACCATGAGAAACAAGATTTCCTGGTCTGATGAAACCAAGATTGAACTCTTTGGCCTGGCACCATCGCTACGGTGAAGCATGGAGGTGACAGCATCATACTGTGGGGATGTTTTTCAGCAGCAGGGACTGGGAGACTAGTCACGATTGAGGGAAAGATGAACGGAGCAAAGTACAAAGATATCCTTGATGAAAACCTGCTCCAGAGCGCTCAGGACCTCAGACTGGGGCGAAGGTTCACCTTCCAACAGGACTACGACCCTAAGCACACAGCCAAGACAACGCAGGAGTTGCTTCGGGACAAGTCTCTGAATGTCCTTGAGTGGCCCAGCCAGAGCCCGGACTTGAACCCGATCAAACATCTCTGGAGAGACCTGAAAATAGCTGTGCAGCGACGCTCCCCATCCAACCTGACAGAGCTTGAGAGGATATGCAGAGAAGAATAGGAGAAACTCCCCAAATACAGGTGTGCCAAGGTTGTAGCGTCATACCGAAGAAGTCTTGAGGCTGTAATCGCTGCCAAAGGTGCTTCAACAAAGTAGTAAAGGGTCTGAATACTTATGTAAATGTCATATTTCAGTTTTTAATTGAATACTTTTGCAAAAATGTCTAAAAACCTGTTTTTGCATTGTCATTATGGGGTATTGTGTGTAGATTGAGGGGAAAAAACAATTTAATCCATTTTAGAATATGGCTGTAATGTAACAATGTGGAAAAAGTCAAGGGGTCTGAATACTTTCCGAATGCACTATAGCTCTCGCTTTGCTCTCAAAACAAGCGCATCTACTATTCACGACCGCTCATGCTGGTCCATGCTGGCGACATGCATCTTTCCATTCATCCCCCCATCAACAATAAAAAAAAATGTGTGACTGGCTTCAATATACTTTCGTTACTCACCAAAGTAAAGATGTTACTAGAGTTCTGCTTAAGTTGCCTTTTCTCCAAAATACGAAATGAGAGCACTTTGTTTACTGCCACTAGCCATACACATGCGTCCGATTTGCACTACGAGCTGCACACCTGGCGCATGGACCAGAGCTAGTCTGTTCAGTGCAAAAAAAGAATGAATTTCAATCAAACTCTCCCTATTTTTACCCCTCTTAGTTCATGTCCACAATGACTTTCTCCTGGCCATTCTCACACGCTGTCAGATCATCGTCTCCACACCAGGTAGGTTTTCCATCGAATATATCAATATCTTCATTGATACCGTTTTCACACATCTGTATGTTGACCACAAACCTGACTGCAACCCATTCCCTTTTCCAGAGGGTGCTGGATCTTTGCAGTGGGCAGGTGGCTCAGCCTCCAAGCCTGGCAAGCCTGCCAAAGGAAAAAATAAGCTCTCCTCCAAACATAAATTTGATGTGAGTTGTTGTCCTTCAATAATGCGTAATGGGAGGTGGCAAAAATACATGATTTATAAACTTCAGACCTTTCCTGTTGTTGAAGTATAATGCTGGGCGTGCGTGTGTGTGTGACCCGTTGCGTCTCCAGCATCGTTTCCAGCCCCAAAACCCTCTGAGTGCGGTCCAGGCCTTCAGCCCGCGAGAGTTGGGGAGTGAGGAGGAGGAGCTGAGACTCAGTGCCCACACCCTGTTGCTGCCCACCCGGGGCCAGCTGGAGGCCCGCATGATGGTCACCGCTTTTGAGGTGGGCTTGGACAACGTCACGGAGGACACCGTCAGCACCATGGTCCACGCAGTTGAGGTATGTGTCGAGTGTGTGTTTTTATGGGATACTAGTACAAGATATGAGAAGGGTTGTAGATTTCATGTTTTCAGTGTAGCACAGATTACTTTGTTATGCTTTGAGACAGGCTTTGTACCCCTTCTAACAGCCAGTTGTATTAGTCCACTCAGGATCCACTAGGTTAGTGCCCCCCCCCCCCCCCCCACACACACACACACACTTCACTCACCTGTCGTTCCCTCCACTACCACAGAACCACCTGAAGGACATGCTGACTGCTGTGGTGTCCAGGAGGAAGGCCTACCGGCTGCGTGACGGACACTTCCCTTACGCCTTTGGCAGTGACGTCACCCCACAGCCCTACTTGAAGAACAGCCTGGCTGCCTACCACATCGTCACAGAGTGGTAATGAGGTCAACGATCTGTCTGCAGCGCTCAGCTGCTCATCTGCCTTAAATCAACTAGAAAAATGTTAAATGAAGTATCAACTACTTGTATCAATGAATTGCAAAGAAACCAAAACGTAATTACTATGCAATTATTAGGGTATTACCATTTCAATTAGCCATTATCTGGTAAGCAGCGGACTGTAGAATAAAGTGTAACCGTTCTGTTCAAATTTAACTTCAAGGGTCAACTTAAAGAGTAATTTATAGACTTCAGTATTAGCTTAAATGGTTGTTGCTCTCTGTCAGATAGTTCTAACAGTAGACTATACTTTAGGTACATGAAGCACCAGGAGTAGCAGTAAGGTGAGGTAGGAGACCGTACAGCACACTGCAAAAAAGATCACTTGGAGACTGGTCCATCTAAAATATATATATATTTTTTATTTATTTAGAGTCCTTTGCAGTGTTAGGGCCAGGCAGAATTTCCCCTTACTAATAAATTACTTTTAGGCTCTTGTCATGATGTCATGCTCTTGTATGTATGTCTGTTGTGACCCTCTCTCTCTCCTCATCCGTACTCCAGCCCACCTCACAGTGCGTCTCTTCTGGCCGGCCCGCCCCCTCAGGTATTACCAGACGATGCTGAGCAGCAGGCTGCTCTCCTATTGGCCTGTTCCGGTGACCGTCTCCTTGCGCCCCTCCCTCCTATCAGTATGTTTGATCTCCTGGAAGCGTTACAGGTGACAGAATCACAGCCTCAATCTGCCTTACCATCACATGATATACCTATAACAAAAGACATTCTGACATTTTAATTGATTTGCTTTTTCAGCCACATTCAACAAACATTTTTCTCTAATCAAAAGGAAAGCTGAACAGAAGATATTTATGTAATTCTATGTGAAAGAGAAATTCGCTCAAACAACTATATTGTTCATGTTTTTCCTTGACGTAGATCCACCGGGGTGTGATGCCCTCTCACACCATGTACGCCCTGAACATGGAACGTATCCTGTCCCGGCTGTGGCACCCCAGTCACGAGGAGCTGGAGCAGGACCATGTGCACCGCCAACGCCTCGCAGGGAAGGATGGCCTGCTCGTCAGCTGAGATGCACACAGACGGTCAGGTGGACAGACAGGCAGATTGTGGTGGGATAGGGCAGAGACAATGGAGACAAATGGAGAGTTTAACACACCCACAGTGTTGAAGCATCTATGTGGTCCCTAAACCCTGCCTTGAAGCTGAGAGCGAGGATGATGTCGAAGACTGGATTTACACTCCACTAGGGATACTCCGTAGAGGCTCTGCAACCGCTTAACCACGCACCACAACTTTACACTAGTGTCAATAGCGTTTTAGAACGCTTGGTGGAGTGTAAACCCAGCCTAAGATGCACACAGTATATCTGTGTTGAAGGCTCACAGAGCTGTGCTATAATGAAAAGGAAGGAATGAAGGCCCAGTGTGGTGTGGTCACAGACATAGCTTGTTATGGCATTAACATGTCTACACGCGCACACACAGCGATATCTCTCCCATAACCTCTCTGACCCTCCTTTAAATGCACCGTTAATAATGTTAATACGTTTAAGGAGGATGGGTGCATTTCTGACCTTTTGGTGAGTTTATTTTGTCAGTTCATTTGTCTCTTGATAGTGTTACTTTTGTTGTATTTCGCACGCGTCTGTGTACACATGTTGCGGCCCTATTATTGCGACATTGACATGCTCTTGAAGAATTATGCCTGGGTAGTACACTTGGGTCCTTGTTCACTGTACTTTGTCAGAGCAATGCATGCATCACAGTATGTATGCAAATATGTATATATGATTTTGTCTTTGTTTTTACCCAACAATCTTGTTTAATATCAATGAAAGTCTAAAATGGCAAAATGAAAAAAAAATATATTACACTTCTGTTAAAACAAGTTTTATGAATTCATTTTTTCTACATTTTTATACCAATACTGGGGTGTAATTTGACTAATGGTTTATGTTAAGATTTGTGAAATATTTTCAGTGTTAGTGTATTGGTATATTGCAGTCATCTTAGAATTCTGGGACTTTATGTTGTCAATCTGTTTATGTAAATGATTTAAATCTCGGTTGGTTCACTCCACATTAACATTCCAAAATACTTAAATAAACTCTCACAGCTGTAATACGCTGACTGTGCAAGTGGCAGGACTTCTGGTTTCTAATTTTCCCAAATAAAATATCCAGTTTTCACTACGTTCAGATCACATAATAGAGCAACAATATGTGATTATACAGATATACTAATCACGATATTTCACATTGTTCGTCTGCATAAATTAAATCTAACATTAATTTACATGAGACAAAGTCCACTTGATCAATAGTTATTGCTCTAGTATCCTATGGTGCCAATTACATCAATAGTGCCACCAACTGGTCTGGTGCAGCCATCTAAGGTTGCAGTGACTTTATATTCACACAGCTTCTAAGGACATATACATTAGGTTTACATACCAAATTTCATGGCCCCATGTCCATGGGTTCAGTTCTTATAGCCCTGGTGTGATACGGTGCCATCTAGTTGTGTAGCGTGGCCGACTTTGAATGCAGCAACTAATCATTGTCAAATTCATTAGAGGCTAATTAATTGAGTCTATATACCAAATCTGGAGTCAATCTGACTTAAAGTTCATGAGAAAATGTTTTAAGTAGTATTAACAAATGTGCTAACATGCATCTATATGTTCATCTTAAGGACGTCAATGATAGCGATGACAAGTTTCAAGTTGATAGGCCACTTTGGTGTGTCTTTAGGGGTTTAAATGGACACGTAAAATCAGATGTTTGATTTGTCAATAACTCTGCCATCTTTTGACCAATCCCTTTGCTTTTCTCAAACTAAGTTAAGACATAGCATGGGCCTAGATTCCACATTTGGTATCATGGTTCATGAGAAGATTATTATGAGTATTTTTAAAAACATTTTAGCATATTAGCATATGTGCTAATATGCATCTACTGGTATAGTGTGGCCATCTTTGAATTCATTCATGTTATTTTCTCAAACTGTTTAGGGACTATTTTGATGAGTCAAAATATCAAATTTGGAGTGAATCAGACTTTTAGTCCATGTGAAGATTTTTTTTGATTATTTTAAGTATTAGCGTTACATAGTAAAAAAAGTGAATTGTTAATAGTTTCCTAACTTTTTAAGATATCAAAGCCAAACTTAACATGGTTCATCATGGTAATGTATTTGATGACCCTACAAAGTTGATAGGCCATTGTGGAGTGGATTTACAAAGGATTTAAATGGACACGTAAAATCTGATTTCCTGATTTATCAATAACTCAGCCATCGCTTCAACAATCCCTTAACTTTTCTCAAACTAAATTAAGAGATGGTGTAATTTGGATTTAGAGTGGGGTAAAAAAGTATTTAGTCAGCCACCAATTGTGCAAGTTCTCCCACTTAAAAAGATGAGAGAGGCCTGTAATTTTCATCATAGGTACACGTCAACTATGACAGACAAATTGAGGAAAAAAAATCCAGAAAATCATATTGTAGGATTTTTTATGAATTTATTTGCAAATTATGGTGGAAAATAAGTATTTGGTCACCTACAAACAAGCAAGATTTCTGGCTCTCACAGACCTGTAACTTCTTCTTTAAGAGGCTCCTCTGTCCTCCACTCGTTACCTGTATTAATGGCACCTGTTTGAACTTGTTATCAGTATAAAAGACACCTGTCCACAACCTCAAACAGTCACACTCCAAACTCCACTATGGCCAAGACCAAAGAGCTGTCAAAGGACACCAGAAACAAAATTGTAGACCTGCACCAGGCTGGGAAGACTGAATCTGCAATAGGTAAGCAGCTTGGTTTGAAGAAATCAACTGTGGGAGCAATTATTAGGAAATGGAAGACATACAAGACCACTGATAATCTCCCTCGATCTGGGGCTCCACGCAAGATCTCACCCCGTGGGGTCAAAATGATCACAAGAACGGTGAGCAAAAAATCCCAGAACCACACGGGGGGACCTAGTGAATGACCTGCAGAGAGCTGGGACCAAAGTAACAAAGCCTACCATCAGTAACACACTACGCCGCCAGGGACTCAAATCCTGCAGTGCAAGACGTGTCCCCCTGCTTAAGCCAGTACATGTCCAGGCCCGTCTGAAGTTTGCTAGAGTGCATTTGGATGATCCAGAAGAGGATTGGGAGAATGTCATATGGTCAGATGAAACCAAAATAGAACTTTTTGGTAAAAACTCAACTCGTCGTGTTTGGAGGACAAAGAATGCTGAGTTGCATCCAAAGAACACCATACCTACTGTGAAGCATGGGGGTGGAAACATCATGCTTTGGGGCTGTTTTTCTGCAAAGGGACCAGGACGACTGATCCGTGTAAAGGAAAGAATGTATGGGGCCATGTATCGTGAGATTTTGAGTGAAAACCTCCTTCCATCAGCAAGGGCATTGAAGATGAAACGTGGCTGGGTCTTTCAGCATGACAATGATCCCAAACACACCGCCCGGGCAACGAAGGAGTGGCTTCGTAAGAAGCATTTCAAGGTCCTGGAGTGGCCTAGCCAGTCTCCAGATCTCAACCCCATAGAAAATCTTTGGAGGCAGTTGAAAGTCCGTGTTGCCCAACGACAGCCCCAAAACATCACTGCTCGAGGAGATCTGCATGGAGGAATGGGCCAAAATACCAGCAACAGTGTGTGAAAACCTTGTGAAGACTTACAGAAAACGTTTGACCTGTGTCATTGCCAACAAAGGGTATATAACAAAGTATTGAGAAACTTTTGTTATTGACCAAATACTTATTTTCCACCATCATTTGCAAATAATTTCATAAAAAATCCTACAATGTGATTTTCTGGAGAGAAAAAAAATCTCATTTTGTCTGTCATAGTTGACGTGTACATATGATGAAAATTACAGGCCTCTCTCATCTTTTTAAGTGGGAGAACTTGCACAATTGGTGGCTGACTAAATACTTTTTTTCCCCACTGTATGGTTCATGAGAATACGTTTTCAAAGATTTTCCAAAATGTCCAAGATGGAGGAAAATGTATCCTGACGGGCCTTTTGGGTCCTTGAGGCAAATTTGTCCAGCATGAGGAAAGACCTACAAGACCTTTCAGGTCTCTAGGTCAAAAGGGGCAGCGGATATGGGGGTTTAAGTGAGACTGATTATAACAGCACCACCTATAGGCCAATCTGTGCCATTCTTTTTGACCAAGCTACTCATGGCCTCTAGTTTCTGTGTACCAAACAAATAAATAAATTACCAATTTATGCTTGAATTATTTGACCATGTCAAGAGGAAACAAATGTATCTAAGAATAACAATAGGTTTCATAGCTTCGCTGTGAACCCCTAATAATAATAGTAAACAGTATGGCAGCATCATAAGTGGTGGGTGGGTGTGTGCATGGTGGAATGTGTGTCTGTGTGTGTGTGTGGTGTGTGCAAGTGTCAGTGTAGGCGTGATAGGCAGATATACAGGTAAACAGGACTGAAACATGACTGGTAGCAGGAATATATAAATACTTATGGTAATATACTAATGGTATTATATACAGTGCATTCAGAAAGTATTCAGACCCCTCAACTTTTTCCACATTTTGTTACTTTACAGCCTTATTCTAAAATGGATTAAATAAATGAAACATCGTCATCAATCTACACACAATACCCCATAATGACAAAGCGAAAACAGGTTTTTAGAACATTTTGCTAATCTATTAAAAATTAAAAACAGAAATACCTTATTTACATAAGTATTCAGACCCTTTGCTATGAGACTCGAAATTGAGCTCAGGTGCATCCTGTTTCCATGAATCATCCTTGAGATGTTTCTACAACTTGATTGGAGTCCACCTGTGGTAAATTCAATTGATTAGACATGATTTGGAAAGGCACACACCTGTCTATATAAGGTCCCACAGTTGATAGTGCATGTCAGCATCTCCGCAGCACTCCATCAATCAGGCCTTTATGGTAGAGTGGCCAGGCGGAAGCCAGTCCTCAGTAAAAGGCACATGACAGCCTGCTTGGAGTTTGACAAAAGGCACCTAAAGGACTCAGACCATGAGAAACAAGATTCTCTGGTCTGATGAAACCAAGATTGAACTCTTTGGCCTGAATGCCAAGCGTCACATCTGGAGGAAACCTGGCACCATCCCTACGGTGAAGCATGGTGGTGGCAGCATCATGCTGTGTCGCTGAAAATGTATGTACTCACTACTGTAAGTCGCTCTGGATAAGAGTGTCTGCTAAATGACAAAAATGAAAATGAAATTAATGTTTTTCAGCGGCAGGGACTGGGAGACTAGTCAGGATTGAGGGATAGATGAACGGAGCTAAGTACAGAGAGATCCTTGATTAAAACCTGCTCCAGAGCGTTCAGGACCTCAGACTGGGGCGAAGGTTCACCTTCCACAGGACAACGACCCTAAGCACACAGCCAAGACAACGCAGGAGTGGCTTCGGGACAAGTCTCTGAATGTCCTTGAGTGGCCCAGCCAGAGCCCGGACTTGAACCTGATCGAACATCTCTGGAGAGACCTGAAAATAGTTTTGCAGCGACGCTCCCCATCCAACCTGACAGAGCTTGAGAGGATCTGCAGAGAAGAATGGGAGAAACTCCCCAAATACATGTGTGCCAAGCTTGTAGCGTCATACCCAAGAAGACTCGAGGCTGTAATCGCTGCAAAAGGTGCTGAGTAAAGGGTCTGAATACTTATGTAAATGTGATATTTCTGGGGGGGGGGGGGGGGGGTATTTATAAATTAGCAAAAATGTTAAAGACCTGTTTGTGCTTTGTCATTAAGGTCATGGGGTATTGTGTGTAGATTGATCAGGAACAACTAACAATTTAATCCATTTTAGAATAAGGCTGTAACGTAACAAAATGTGGAAAATGTCTAGGGGTATGAATACTTTCCAAATGCACTGTACATGTAAACAGGAGTAATAGTGACCAGTAGCAGGATGAATAGATACTAATGGAAATGTTAATCAATAATCAATTAATAGCAGCATAGTGGTAATCATTTAAGCAGCAGTGTAGGTGTGAGGGGGAGCAGTAGTTGACACTCGTGAACACATATACACATCTATTGAACACATTACACTATCTACACAAGACACTATTGAAGAATAATGTTTTTCTTTCTCAGTCATGTGAACTCGTTATCAAATATATTTTAATTTGTTATGTAGTACCTCAGCTCCTTAAAACTCAAGTCGTAAGACTACTACTACCAACCAGCATTTACAACAGGAGACAGTATTTTAGGGACACCCTGACCTACCCGTCATAGAAAACGTAGCTGCTCCCAGAGCTCTCTTGCCATATTTGGCTTGCTTGCTGCTCATTTCCGAGACGATGTCCAATCGTTGTCGAGGAACACGGTCCCCTACCAAGCGATTACACTTCACTGGAGTGACTCAATGGTCAGTCTGTCTGTCCCCATTTCACTGTAAACAAACATTATATTAATTCACTGTTCATCCCAGGATGAACTAGTAACCTTTTTTCTGTCCCAATAAAACCCCATTCTTAATAATTATAACAAAGACTATTCTCAATTCATGACTTTTATTCCACATTGTATTTGTCGTTTATACATAGTTTCTGAAGTGCTCAAAAGACAGGCATAAAAATAGTATTATGATAAAGTATTAATTCAGGTCAAACATTTGTTTGAACCTTTTCACAAAATTGTATTAATGTAAATGTTAAGAAAGTAAGGCAGTTTTGTGTCAGTCCTAGTACACAAACACCTCTGGGTCAGTCCTCGCACAAGGTGTGTCAATAAAGCAATGTCTCGTATAGTGTTACATTGTACAACTTGTCGCTGGTGAGAAAACTCAGTGCTAGACTTGGTCTATATACATACTAGACAATGTCAGAACTCGTCATCGAGCAACAGGCATTGCCACTGTTTTTTTTGTCCTTAGCCACCACTATTTATTCCACGAATACGTTTATTTTTCTTGTCGCCATTCTGTCAGGGCGCAAAGACGAAGAACTGTATCACGCCCCTATAGGAGCTGCGTTTGGTCCAATAATGAAAAGTATCTCACTCAAAGCGCAATGTATTTTGGCCGTTCAGAACGCCTGAAGCTGCTGCGTCAATATGAGTTGGCACCCGCTGTTAACATGGTCCATGACCTTCTGTTTGAGCAGTGCCAGTTCGTCCCGGAGCACGTTGGCAGAAGAGACCAACTCTGTGTGTTGGGTCTTCAGGTTTTTGACCCTGTCCTCCAGCCTCGAGATCCTCTCCAGCTTCCTTTTCCGGCATTTGGACGCGGCCACCCTGTTCCTCATGCGCTTTCTCTCGGCCTTTATCCGCTCCTGGCTCTCCATGTTGATAGGAGACATCGGAGGGGTATCGCCGCTCATCTCGGGCACCGTCTGGGGCTCCTCCTTGAATGGCTGTAGCCTTGGGTGCTGGGCTAGCAGCGGGGTCTCGATGTGGGTTTGGGACGGGACGGACGTGTAACTGGCGGAGGAGTGTCTGTCGCCGGTAGGTGCCGACGCAGAGCTGACAGCCCGACTGAAAGGGCCCAAGTTTGTGTATTCCGGTGGCTCCGGACGCACGGTGCAGCTGTAGGGTATAGGACTGTCCGACACAGTAGATGCCGATGCCATGTCGTTGGAAGCATTCGTCTGAGAGTCAGAGCTGCCATCGGGCATATGCTGTTGATAATGAAGCTCCGCGAGCGCCCGCACGAAACCCTCAGCAAAACCCTCTTGCTCGTCGGTGATGTTCTTGGGACAGAGGAACTGAGTTGGGGTCGGAGTTGTCAACCCATTGCAGGACTGGATGATGAGCCTTTCCAATTCCGGAGAGGCCAGTTTTAATAATCCCACATCAGGGGACGTCAGTATATCGAAAGCTTTCGCCCGCAGATGAGGTTTAAACATTTTAGGGTCGTTGAGGTTCAGTGTCATACTCTGCTTCATACTTTTCGGGTTAAACCCATGATATCCACCCACTGCGCCTTGCTGACCATTTACCGATTCGTCATAGAATGTAGCTTCCATCTTGGTGGGCATCAATTGACGGGTCTTTATCTCGAAGATAGTTGTTGGAAAAAAAATAAAAGCATCAAATGTTGAAATTGCAATAAACAATTTGGACTGATAAATTGCAATCCGATGTCCCCAATCTTTTGACAGTTTCAGGACAAGTAGCCTAATGTTCGAACCTCAACTCGGAGGACAACTTTTGATGTCCGATGTGGAAACTTCTCTTGAGGCTTGATAAAATAAGAATAGTATCAAACAAAAAATATTCACTTCCTCAATCGATATGCGTCTTTGTTTCAATTAGGATTTTTGTAAAATTCGATTTGCCTATTGAAATAAGGCTTTTCTTTTCTAAGCAGATGTTGTATCTCACTCGATATAATGTACTTTCTACCACTTCCAACGTGGAGACGAACTTTATCCACTTCTATGCTGCTGCTATACTGAAAATAACAATGATGTAATTTCTAAGGCTTCCTATTGGTTTGAGATGATGTGATGGGCGTTACTTTTTGTAATGACATACACGTTGCGTTGACAACCAGCCATGTTCCCGCCTCCCGCAATGGTTGATGGGATTAGGTAATGCAGTAAAAGGAGCGGTGTCCTCTGGGATAACGTATTGTTTTTGAATATCTTGTTACCCGCTCAATTTTGTTACCCAATCTTAATCAGGTTGACCAGATTGCTGTTTGAATAACAGCTTTCACAATATTTGCTTTCTTTTGCTCTTTGATTTTGTAGGTGAAAGCGTGGCAATTTGGCACCACAGTCAACTCACAAATTATTGGCACCCTTGATAAAGATGAGCACAAAAAAAACGGTATCATATAAATAATTCAAACACTGAGCTATATTGTATGCAAAAAAAAGTGGGGAAATTATATTATGTTATACTAACACAATTGCTCAGATGAAGATATGTTTTTTAACAAGTAATTTTAAAAAATCGTAAAAAGAGAGGTGTCAATTATTGTCACTCCTGTTTTCAATACTCCAGAACTTTTCCGAGGATAACGACACATCCTTTTTCTAAAATGTTCATGAGATTGGAGAACACATTGTGAGGGATTTTAGATTTTAGGTCAGATTACATGAAAATAGAGCTCTTTGGTCACACACACCAGTGATGCGTTTGGCTTAAATTAACGGAGGCATATGCAGAAAAGTACTTCATACCTACTGTAAAATATGGTGGTGGATCTTTCATGTTATGGGGCTATTTTGCTTCCACTGATACTGGGGCCCTCGTTAAGTCAACGGCATGATGTACCAGGACATTTTAGCCAAAAACTTGGTTGCCTCTGCAAGCAGTATATCTGACCCTGAAACTTGGCCGCAAGTGGATCTTTCAGCAAGACAATAACCCCAAGCACACATCAAAATCCACAAAGAAATGGTTCATTGACTATAAAATCAATATTTTACAATCTCAGTCTCCGCACTTGAACCCCATTGAAAACATGTGGTTTGAATTGAAGAGGACAGTCGAAGGATATCAAGGATCTGGAAAGATTCTGTATGGAGGAAAGTTCTATGATTCCTCCCAATGTGTTCTCCAATCTCATAAAACATTTGAGAAAAAGGCTCTGTCGTTATCCTCGCAAGGGGAGGGTGCTGGAGTATTGAAAGCCGGGGTGGCAATAATTTTGACAGCTATCTTTTTGAGAGAAAAAAGTATTAGGCTACTTGTTAAACAATATCTATTTCTATGAGCAATTGTGCTATTATAAAATCATATAATTTTCTCAATTTGTTGAGCATATGAAATAGCTCAGTATTTGAATTATTTATTTGATAGTCTTTTTTTGCCCATCTTTATCAAGGGTGTCTATAATTTTGGAGGTGACTCTACTTCTGGTGTGTGTGAGAGAGAGAGGGAGGAGAGAGAGAGGGGGGTCGAGGGAAGGGGGTGTCTCCCTCTATTCTTTTGTTTTGCTTTTTAGGTGATACTTTCTGCGTTGGTTATATAGGGGAATGATAATGTTCAAGTGAATATCAAATAGAACATTGTGCCTCATATTTTAAGGGGTGCTTCAAGTACAGGTATAACAAGTAGGCAACTGCCAAAATACAGGAAACACCAACATAAAGTGTCTTAATTGAACAGCTTCAATGCACCTTGGCATAGATTCTACAAGTGTCTGGAACTCTATCGGAGGGTTGCAACACCTGTTTTCAATATACTTTGTATCCCTCATTTACTGAAGTGCTTCCATTATTTTGGCATTTACCTGTATGTAGCAACAATGTGTTTCTACACTGTAATTACATAGGTACTACCAAGCAAATTTATATATCCTAGGTATTAGCATTACTGAATGTAAACTGGGGCCAACTCTCTAACTAGATTTTTAATTATTTCCCTGAATAGATGGAAATATGTCTTATGATCTGACTGTAGTGTGCAATTTGTGGAGAAACTCCTTCCAGTTCCATTAGAGTTCAATGGGCCTCAGTGTTGCTCCGCAGTCTCAAGCAAACTCTCAGACTGATAGCTCTGGTATTGTCTCTGTGCTCTGTCCTTGCCGTGAGCTCTAACTATGTCTGCTCTCTCCTTGCATTATTCAACACATTCTATTCAACCGTGACTATAAATAAGTGAACAGGCCTCGGCCACAGGCCACAGACAGGGTGAGTGTCGATTGAGGTCAACCCTGAGATGACAAGCTTGTCTTCAGGTTGCCTTGACAGAAGAGCAACAACCACCATTTGGAGGTATTGACACCTTCAGTTGGAATTCCAGATTGGAATATTTGGGAATGTCTGTTCCTCCTGTCACAATAATGATACTAACAACAAATAGATTAAACAACAACGTTCCAATACCACAATCATGCACACAGTCACAGGGACAGACCAAACACACACAAGCCAAAAAAGAAAAACAAACACACACCTGCATTCTCTGTATGGAGCTAGTAGGACTTGAGACTGGTCTCTCAGTGGTCTCTTTGCAGAAGATAAAAGAGGTTTACACATATCCCCCAGCACACACCTGTATTTATTACTGTAGCTGGGAATTTTCCCATCAGCCTACAGCTGACCTGGCCATACTTCCTGTTCCTCTGTCCCTGCTTCCTGTCCAATGGCCTGATGGGTAATCTCTAGATAACACCACCTTCTTCCCCCTGGCTCAGCCAGCTGCTTCCACTGCATGGAGGTCTCTATTGCCCAATGTCCACCAGATGCATATGCGTTTTGTTTTGCCGGATGTCTAGCCCCCTTCTTCCGTACTTGACGCACATGTGCTTTGCTTTTCAACTACAGTAGCTAAACGCTAGCTAGTTGGAGTCTGTGACTGTACTTCAGTTTGTACCACCGTAAAGAAACACACGAGTTGAAAATATTGAATGCATGCGGTACACAGAATGCACCACAGCCTATTGCGGCACCCCCAACATAGCGTTGCGGACTGCTCCATTGACAATTAATGACTTCCCCCGGAACGCAAAGAGTTTGATGCATCTGGTGGACATGAGGCGCAATGAAGAGTTTATACCCAGGCCCAGCTGCCACAAGCTGTCCTTTGTTGGAAATTGATGGACCCTTAGACCATGAAAACACACTCTTCCTGTCTGTGCTCTGCTCTGACCAAAATGTGGAGAGTGCCCTTTGCATTTGTTGATCATAAATAGAGGAAAGTTAGATTACCCACTCACTCACTCATGTGTATGTTAAACATGTCTACAGTGTTTGTTAACGACCATCTGTTTTTTCCTGTCCTTCTGCTATGTTTTCCTCCATCCTCTCCCTCCTCTATTCTCTCTCCCCTCTATTCATGTATGGCCCAAACACAGCCTGCTAACTGCTTCCCTGTTTCCCCTGGGCTTTAAGTGTTTATACTTTCTATGAAAATAACACAATAGTAAGATACTGTATTCACCCTTGTAGTCTTGGCAGGGTCAGTAGGATTGTCTTCCAATTTTGACTGAATGTTTTAAAAACAATCTGTGTTAGACTCTAATGACCTTGACTGATCTATGTTATCACCTATTTCTAAGAAGTGTGTGCCTTTTTTTCAATTGAGGTCAATACCATTTGAAGGTATAATCTTGGCAGAGCATTTTTTATACATATAGATGAAAGGTTTCCTGACATCCTCACTTTAAAACAAGGCAACAGTAAACATGTTGTCCCCCACGAATTATGCAGTGTCCCCCTTGGGCCAATCAGTGTACTTTTGTAAATGAGGGATCTCTATGGCAAGACGCTTCATTCACCCACGTTTTGTCAAAATCGGTCCAGTGGTGTCTGAGATATCATGTGGGCTAGCTAGACTCTTATCCCTGAGCATGTATGCCAAATTTCAGCACTCTTAGTCAAACAGATTAAGACATATTGAGTCTTGACAGTGTTTGCAACATGTGTACCAAATTGTGTTACAATATGAATATCCTTGATGGATTCATATGCATTTATGTGCCAGACCACGCCCACGTGAGTGTTTATTGGTCAACTGTGGCCATGTTGTTTTAGGTACTAGTCTGGAAAATATTGTGTTGAGAGACCTTTGTGCATAGATGACACATATCAAGTATTGTGCAGATCAGTCATTTGGTGCCAGAAGAGTAGCGTTTTATGTGTTTTCCACAAAATTCAAAAATATGTATCATGGCGGACCTTATGGGTCCCTGCGGCAAATGTGTTCCTTGTGAGAAGAGGGAGCTATGTACTGAATTTCAAGACTTTAGGTCAAACGGGGTGAGGGGCATTACCTTTCAAAGTTTGCATTTTCAATCTCTTGTCATATCGCCACGATCTGGCCAATCAGTGTAATTTTGTAAAAGCCGGATATCTATGGCAAGACGCATCATTCACGCACGTTTCGTCAAAATCGGACAAGTGCTGTCTGAGATATCGCGTGTGACTAACGTATGAATGAATGAATGTACAAACGAACGGAACGACGGCCGGAGACAATATCCACAGAC